GCCTTCAAAAATAGATCCCCAAAACTGTCTTCTTTGGAGTTTTTTTATTCGGTCGAATTAAAAGTACCGTGTTCAAGAATCGCATTAATGATGTTAGTGAACTGCAGAATGTTGTGACTGAAGTTTCTTGGGCTATTTTATCTCAATGTTTAATTAACGTTTAAAACAAAAATAAAAGAAGGGTTCAACTGACTTTGTTGAAAAGATGATGAAGGATATTTTGAATAAGTTTTGTAAATTGAAATAAATTTTATTTTAAACATTTTTCCAAACTTGTTCTTTTGTTATTAGTATTAAACTGCACCTATTCAGATTAGTATATTTGTCCACATTAAAAAACTATGATGTCATCACTTCTACTAAGATCTCTCGTGAAGAGCATGCATTCCTTAACGTGTAGTTCAGTAATTCACTCCTTTACTTATTTTAACTTATAGGGTTCTAGTGTCCCAGTTTAATTTGAGTAAGTTGAATTTGAAAAATAAATTAAGAAAATCGTGAAACATAGACAACCATGTCTAACTTACGTTTGGTAGCCCGTAGTAGAGAATTAGTGAATGTCGATCTTTAAGTTGGCAGTGATTTGGTGATGAGTTGATAGTAATACATACATAAGAAAGCAGACTCGTTTTAGTTTAAAAACGTCACTTATTGCTTGCCTGGTGTGAGTGTAAAAACGTAGTGAGCATTAAAGTGTGCCTAGGTTAAGTTTAGTAAAGTTAATCGTACCGACGGCGACGCCAGAGTTTGCTCCGCAAGTATAATGAATTATGAATGGTTTTCTAGTATGTAATGTTGTAAAGTTTTACAATATCGACACGTGGTTCAGTTTTTGTTTATTGTCTGTACATTCATAGTTCGTGTTAAGGAATTCACTCATTCAGGTCAAGTTATGTATAACTAAAGTTTATGGATGTTTTTACTTTATTTTAGTTTCTCTCTTGAGATTGCTAATATGTTGTTCATTGATGATATTTGAACTGATCTTAACGTTAGTCCATTTTGAGAAAAGATATTTTGGAAAGTTGTGGTTAATTTCATACACTCACTTATGGATTCAAAAAACGGAAGGGGTTTAATACTTTCTTACAGGTTTAATAGTTGATTTCTGGTCTAATTACTTTCTTGCCGGCTTAATATTACTTTTGCAGCTTGAATTGAATATTTATTTCCGAGACAACGTGAAATTCTTAGTCGTTTGAAATTGTTTACAAAGTGTGACATAATTTAACTACATGTACATAAATTATTTAGTTAGCTTTGCGGTCCAGTAATTTATTTAATTATCGTTAGAACTTGGAAAGTGGGTACACGTTTCAAATGATGCGGTCACTTGTATTAGGGTTGCCAATGCGGACAGTTTTCTGATTTGTTCTAAACTTAGCACTTTCAATTAAAAATCAGCAACAAAAGGAACGAGACGAAGTTCTTCAATCAATTAAAGCAATGCTAGTAGGGGGAATTTTAACTCGAGTTTTGGCTCGCAAACCTTTTTACTTTCCGAGCGTAAACTAAGGAAGTATTGTAATCGAGTCCGTCGGCCGACTCTCTACTTTTACCTTATCTCGACCTTTTATGACCCGTAGAGTACGAAGAAATAGGTCTCCCGTTTCCGTTTGTCTGCCGTCCCGATTTTTATTAGACAGACAATCTCCGAAAGTACTTGTGATTTATCATTCCATTCATATTTTTTGCATTTGCATATACAGGCTGACTCAAAAAAATTAATGAATACGTGAATTTATTTTAGTGATTTAATCAGGAACTCCAAAACCGAATGCTCTGAAATCTTGGACATGTTTTAAAGTTATATTAAGCATGGTAATTTTTTGATCAAAATGTATTTGTACATTTCCCCTAAAAAATTGATGACGTCATTTCAAAATTTTGCCGAATAAATCCTTTCGAAAATGTGCAAGTCTATACTTGTAATTTATCATTACATTCATATTTTTTAGATTTGCTTATACAGGATGACTCAAAAAAATTAATGAATCAGTCAATTTATTATTGATCAAAATAATAACGATCCACCCCATTTTCTCGAAAATGTGAAAAAACGCTGGTTTTTATTAGAATAAAATAATGATAAGGTGAGAATTATACTAATAACATTCAGAATATTGTCTTCAACTGAGGCTTATTAATAATTTTAGTCATGTGTTTTGAGGCGACAAACTCAAAAAAAAATCGAACAAATATCTACGTGACATTCTATATAGACATAAACATAAACATTTTAAACACTACGCATTTTGCTATGATACTACTATTCCCGTTGGTAAAGTGCTGTAAATATATTTTACTTCCTCTTGTCTTGTTAAAGCTCGTTTACTGTCGTCTGAACTAACTCGGTAAATTAGCCTTTACACGCACCCTGCCTGTAAAGCGTTACCGTGGCAGCTTTACAGGCACCGTGCCTGTAAAACGTCATGACAGCACCGGAATCAAACACACCTTCGCTGCGTCGGCCTTTTTCTTAATCTCACTAATACTGTGCTAATACTAACGTTAAAATCACCTTCAAACTCTTCATCTTCATCGAATTCCACAATTAACAGAGCTCAGAAACAAAATTAAACTATTTAAATTATTAATCGAATTTACAAATTGACAGTCCCGTTATTTTCAAACAATTCAATTTTCCATAGTTACCGGAGCAAACTATGAAAAATGACTATAATTTCTATAACTGTAATTTCAAGTAAAATTTCTAGAGATGCCAAAGTTGTTCATTTTCAGGATTTTCAGCAAGAGGAAGTAAAACGTTGTACGCTGCTCGCTTGCAACTAGCCTTTACTGGGGCTCACCGGATTACAGAGCTCGCTCCTACGTCGCTCGCCCTGCAAACATTCCGGCTCGCCCGTAAAGGCTAATTTACTAAGCTTGCCACGTAAATAACTATTACAATGTCTGTAGCTGTACAGAGACGGTTTATACAGATATGCTTTACCATGTGGCCCCCGAAGTTAAGGAACCCCTTCTGGCCTAAATCTAACGTGAAATAAAATTTATTTGTTTTTAATTTGGTTATTACAAAAATCCGATTTCGTCTTCGATTGACCGTTTATTGACACATATGATCTCGAGATTGTGCAAAATGCAAAATTGGCCACTTCCGGGCGTTCCAATAATTAATGACTTGCAGCCAAGCAGCCATCTGCACGAAAAGCTGCCCCCTGTGTTGTTTGAAGTATCGTTTCTCATTCTTATTTTGCTTTTTACTTCCCGAGCATAAGGTAAGGTAGTATAGCAATGGAGTCCATTGGACGAATTGTCACTTTTATGTTTTCTCGACGTTTCATGACCCCTACAGTACGACGTCTGTCTGTCTGTCTGATGATTTGAATGTTATTCAAAAATATACTCCTATACTCGTAGTGTACGAATCCGTTTTCAGTTTTTTCACTAAAATGTTCAAATTTTCCCAAAAACATTTGCAAGGTATAATAACGAAAGTTGATTGCAATTTTAAAAAGGCAGTCAGAGGGGTACAGATTCAAGAAGTAAAAAATATTTACGGAAGATGAGAATGGAAGGTTCCAGAACAATCAGTTTTTGCTTACTAAGTTAAGCTATGCCTAAAATGTCTTCAAATTATTTTAATTCATATTTTTCCCAGGTTGCATTTATAATTGGCATCGCTGGAGCTTGCAGAAAAGAAGAGCCCACTAACTTGCTGCTAGAAAATGTTAATGATGAAGGGTTGGTTTTCCATATACAAATCCCGAACACCAAAACCAAAATTTCCGGAAAATATTTTGTAACGGTTCGTGGCATCCAGGAACTTGATATGGTGGAAATAATTAGGAAATAATTGGCATTACGTTCTCAGCATACCAGCCATGGAAGATTTTTCTTGAATGCAGGAAAGGTTTCTGTACAACACAACCTGTAGGCATTAATACGTTTGGGAGTATTCCAAAAACATCGCTACATTTTTTAATTTGGCAGATCCTAAAGAGTATACTGGGCATTGCTTCAGACCCTGTTACACTACGATGCTTGCAGACTCTGGAGCAGATCTCTTAACCGTAAAACGCCATGGAGGCCTTCCTGCCTCCGAATACAGTGGCGGAGGGGTCTATTGATACATAAAAAAAATAAGTTGCGACTAAAATTTTAGGAGAAATTATGGCAAGTATTTCTGGTACAAACGATAGATCACTAGAAATATAGAGTGAAAACACGGTACAGCGTATTAGCTGGTATCAATATGTCCAATTGCGAAAACATTGTAATTAATGAATTTCATTACACCACTAGTAAAATAATATTGAAGATAACATAATTCAAATAGCCGTCATAATAAGTAGTTATCATGTAGATCGCAGATAAACAATTATTAAATCGGACGCTATTAGTGAATCACCCTGTATTTAGTATTTAATTATTTTTTTATTTGATTTGTTACATTAATAAATACAATTAATTGCGTTTCGTTCATTCTGTATAATACATTTTCATTATATGCTTGCTAGAAAGATCAAAACAGCTTTGTACATTCATCAACAAATACTTTTTTAAACACAGTTGTTCATACACAAATTACACATTTGTGTAAAACCTTTCTAATTAGCGAACATCAAAGGGTTTTATTTACGTAACGTCGAAAACTACTTTAATTAAAAGAGGAAACACACGAAAAGATAAAAATTTCACCGAACCAGTGATTCAGCCGAAAATTTCAAATACAAAACGAAAACTGTAAGTTGCGTTACGCCATAAATAAATTTGATTCCATCTCTGCGCATTAAACCTCTTTCGCTAACACTGTACGTACATCATTTCAAGATGAACCTTAATGGAGGAACATTTAAGATTTATGTGAGATGTGGTTTCTACTCACAACCACACTGCTATATGTTTTAATATATTAAAGTGAAAATTTACGTGTGAACGAAAAACCAAGAAAGCAGCGAGATGAAGTATCATTTTTCACATGACACACGCAGGATGTCGTCATCACGTTGCTTTCAACAAGTCTTATTATCACTAACCTTCTGGCGTCAACGCGAGCATACAGAACGGTTCTCCTCTAACGACCACTTCTTGTAAAACAATTCCAAACGAGTAGACATCACCAGGTTGCGTCCCTTTTTTCCTTAAGCTGGCGTGTCGTAACAGTTCTGGAGCTGTCCACAGCAGTTCTGAAATTAACGACATTTCACTTCGTTAAAATTAAATTACTAAGTTTGGGTTTTAATTTAGAGCAGAATTTAACGGAACAATATTAAAAGCAAACTCTTTTAAAAGCTTTTTTCTCCTTGTTTTTAGTGTAGAAAGAGTAATTACACAATGTATTCATAATGTTTCGCATTTGCCGCGAGCAAGAAGTCTCAGAACAAAGTTGCTTTGTTTTTGTATAATTTTATTTATCAGAAGTTAATGTTAGAGTATATTACATACTGAGACGGAAAGTATTCCATTCCTGTCGAGAGAACTATAGTTTACTTATAGGTGAACTACTTCTCAAGACACAGGAATAGTACTTTTGTCGAGGTTTGTATACTATTTTATTCACAATCATTTAATAAAACAAGCAAAATTATATAACAAAAAACCTACCTCCGTAATATTAAGGTCTATTTTGGTAAAATTTGAACACTTAGAAGGCGCTGCAGGATTGACATTTTATTAAATTAATTCTAGAAACTTTGACATTGATAGTTTAAGTTGATAGTGACACCCTCACGGGTCGGAAATAATCTTATTTCTGACCGCTTACATTCATTACTGATCGGTTTCAAGCTTGTCCGACCCACTGAAAAATGTATCTGTGAAATGCTCATTTTCCAACTTTTCAGGAGTTAGAAAAACTGTATGTTACTACCTGATTGTGAATAAAATTATTTTTTGTTTACTCAAGCAACTATTGTTGTTACAGTTTCGGCCACAAACGCTTGGGCAGTTCTGTCATTCCAGTGACATAAGCTCTAAAACAGGCTTTACGTACTTATAACCTCAGATTTGTCATGTTTGTCATTTTGACGTAGACTGGAATGTGGATGATCACGTATGTCAAAATTCATATGAAGTTATGTCAAAATTTATTTTTTAAAAGGGTCAATCATCATGACAATAACGCATAAGCTACATCGTGTTTTTTTTAAATGACAGAAAAATGCCAAAATTTTCTGGCCGAAACTGTACTACTTGTATGAAACTTAGAATACGTGGATTGATCAAAAAACAATTCAAGTCGAATAATTTAAAGTTTCAACATGGCGAGACGTGCTATAACTGGCAAAAATTTTAAATGACAATAGAGGTCGATTGACATCTCATGTAACAAGCAACAGTTTTGTATTCCCAAATTTTCAGGCACATGGAATGAGCCGTTTCTGAATTAATCAACAAAATACATTGACTCATTGATGAGATGACCTCATCAATTTTTTGGGGGGATAAACAGATATATTTTAGTTAAAGATTTACCATGCTTACGATAACTTCGAAACGTCTGTAAGATTTTAAAGCGTTGTGTTTTGTAGTTCCTGATTTAATCAGCAATATAAACTGATTTATTCGTTAATTTTTTGGGTCACCTGTATAAGCAATTTTAAAAAAATATGAATGCAGTGATAAATCAGACCCATCATATTTTGCACATTTTCGATAGGATTTATTCGGCAAAAACAGATATATTATGATTAAAAATTTACCATGTTTATGATAAGGGTTGTGATTTTTTTCCAAAAATCTGAATGTCTCGGGTAAAAACTCAGCACGGATTCATAAGCTACAAGTGTAGGACTATGTTATTTTATACAATTTAAATCCCATTTACAATTTACGATTTTGAGGTGACGTGTGACGTCATTAACATTCTTGCAAGGGCACGTATTTCAACTTGGATTGGTACAGTGTCTAATAATAAGTGTAATAACAGTATTTTCGGGAAAAAGGAGTGACCCGTTCCTGATTTAATGAATAAAATAAATTCATTTATTAATTTTTTTCAGTCACCTGAATTTTTTTTTTATTGTATTCTAAAAAAATATGAATACAGTAAAACTAAAAACTCATCATATATTGTACATTTTAGATGGGATCTCTCGGCAAAATTTTGAGATGACATCATCAACTTTTGGGGAAGGTAAATAGATACATTTTGATTAAAAATTTACCATGCCTGCAAGAACTTCAAGACCTTAGAAAGTATTGTAATCAAATTCCTGGGGAAGTAAAATTGAAAAATGAAAGAAACTGAAAAAACGAAATGATATCACAAAATTGGTCGAAGGTAAATAAATCCAGTTTTGTTTCAAGTGAGTTGTTGCATTATAAAATTTTGTGATAACGTCGTCAACATTTTTGCAAGAATGCAGTGTAATACTAATAAATAATAACAGTGTTTTATACCAAAATTTTCGTGAAAATGGAGTGAGTCGTTCTCTATGTACAATAAAATGCCTCAGTCAATATTTTTTTTGAGTCACCCTGTATAAGCCATTTTGAAAACTATGAGTGCATTAATAAACCACACGTATAGAATTATAATATTTTGCATATTTTAGCAAGGCAAAATTTTAAGTTGATGTGATAACCATTTACGGTGACTAGGATAACCTCATGTACGGAGCTGAGATTTGGGGATGGAGGGAATATGAAGAAATAGAGAGAGTGCAAGAAAAATACTTGAAATGGACATTGGGATTGGAAAAGTATACGCCGGGGTATATAGTGAGAGAAGAAACAAAAACGGAGAAAATGAGAGTGGAAGCGGGTAAAAGGGCGGTTGGATTTGAAGAGAAGTTCAGTGAGAGAGGTGATTGCAAGATATTGCAAGAATGTTGGAAAGAAATAAGAAAGGAAGGGGGAAAACATGTTTGGAACGAAAGGGACAAGTATTATGAAGGAAAGGGATATGCATGTGAAGAAATAGAGAGAATGAGAGAAATGGGAAGGAGTATGAAAGAAGAGCTGAGTGTAAGAGATAAGGATATAGATAAGCAAGAACGTAGATCGAGAATATCGGAGTCTAGATATAATGCAGACTATAGAAAAATAGTAAAGGATGAAGTACCAAAGTACACAGAGAGAGAAAGTATAAAGGAGAAAAGAATGATGGCGAGATTTAGGTGTGGAAATGAAGAGAAAGAGAATAATTTTTGGATGGATGAAACTGACAGAAGGTGTAGGATATGTTGGAGAGAGGGAGAAACAATAGAGCATATGTTGGAAGGATGTGAAGGATTGAGAGAATCGGAGGAAAGTAGGGAAGAAGTGCTAAACGAGGATGGAAGAGGACTGGACTGGATGAAAGAAGTATGGAAGATAAGGGAACTATGGCAAGCAGAAAGAATAGAATATTTATTATATAACACTCGAATTTTTATTTTATTTTATTTATTTTATTGTTATGGATTTATACGAGGTAGATTAAGTTAATTTGTACCCCTACTGGGAATATTATTAAGCCTGTAAGGCAAATAATAAATTAATACTACTACCTTAAAATGTTTGCAAGATTTTAGAAGACTCGGTTTTGGAGTTTCAAAGTTAAATTGCAAAACTGTTAAACAGTTCTAATTTTTTTCCAAAAATTTGGATGTCTAGGGTGAAAAATCAACACAGATTTATACACCACAAGTACAGGAGTATTTTATTTTATAACAATAAAAATAACATTTACTACTGTAAATTTTGGAGATGATCTACATGATATTCCTAATATATTTACAAAATTTGACAGCAACCGGTCCAGTACTTTCGGAGATTATCTGTCTCATAAAAATCCGGACAGCCGGCAGACAGATAGCCAGACACGCAGAAACGCCAGACCTATTTTTTCGTAGTCAAGGGGTCATGAAAAGTCGAGAAAATATAAAAGTAGGGAGTCGGCCGATGGAGTCAATTAAAATACTTCCTTAACTTACGCTCGGGAAGTAAAAATCAAGTTAGATTACAGGCGTAGAAACTGAGCTAACATCATATATTTTTATCACTCGTATTAAAAGTTTGAAATGACGTCTAAAACAATTCTGAACAAATAATGAGGGACGGCAGTACAATACTCAATTTATAAATGTAAAAGTTTGCAGACACAATTAAGTAAAAGTAGTGATACAGCTGCAGGTTTTGCTTTTGTGTTAGTTTCTTTTTACTTCCCGAGCGTAAGCAAAGGAAGTATTGTAATCGAGTCCGTCGGCCGACTCTCTACTTTTACGTTTTCTCGATCTTTCATGACCCCTAGAAGACGAAGAAATAGGTCTCCCATTTCCGTCTGTCTGTCCGTCTGTCCGTCCGTCTGTCCGTCTGTCCGTCTGTCCGTCTGTCCGTCCGTCTGTCCGTCTGTTGTCCCGGATTTTTATTAGACAGATAATCTCCGAAAGTACTCGACCGATTGTTGTGAAATTTTGTACTTATATTAAGAATATCATGTAGATGGTAAAACGCTAACCAAAATTTGTCGAATCATCCCCACCACTAAAGCGATGACGTCACTTCAAAATTGTACATAGTAAATGGGTTTTCAATTGTATAAAATAACATAGTCCTACACATGTAGTTTACAACTCTGAATCGACTTTTCACCCGAAACGTCCAGATTTTTGGAGAAAAAATCAAAATTATAAAACAACATTTTGAAATTTAATTTTTAATCTGCTAACCAGAATGCTTTGAAATGTTGCAGATGTTTTAAGGCTATAAAGAGCATCATAAATCTTTAGTCAAAAAATATTTGCTTATCCCCTCCAAAAACTTGATGACGTCAGCTCAAAAGTTTGTGGAATAAATCATATCTAAAATGTACAAAATATGATGAGTCTGTACTTGTGATCTATCACTCCATTCATATTTTTTGGATTTGCATATACAGGGTGACTCAAAAAAATTAATGAATGCGTAAATATATTTTATTGATTTAATCAGGAACTACAAAACCTAATGCTCTGAAATCTTGCAGATGTTTTAAGGTCATAAAGAGCATAATAAATGTTTAGTCAAAATATATTTGCTTATCCCCTCCAAAAACTTGATGACGTCAGCTCGAAAGTTTGCCGAATAAATCATATCTAAAATGTACAAAAAATGATGAGCCTGTACTTGTCATTTATCACTCCATTCATATTTTTTGGATTTGCATATACAGAGTGACTCAAAAAAATTAATGAATGCGAAAATATATTTTATTAATTTAATC